CTTTCCCTGCTGAATTATTTCTCTGCCAATTCAGCAAACTCAGCCAAATCATGGGTCATATGTCCCTGAACCAGTGCAGTGGAACAGCACAGGGAAGGTGGTAGAAGAAAGAGTAGGACTGCCTTATGTTGGTGGCAGTGAGCCATTAGGTTGGCCCAGCTGCGTTGTAAAACCTTACCATGAGGCCCTCCTGTTCCCATGAAAGCATGCGCGTGGGCAGACTCTTTTTATATTAAGAATTCATGCTGCACAAGCAACATTAGACATGTAGAACTTACTGCTACAGTTACAGGCAAATAAACTTGTGGCTGAATAGTGAACTACTTCTTATAAAAATTGTTGTGCATGTTTCAGTTTTAGAATTAATAAAATGAAAGGGGCATTGCTGCTTTGTGGTAGCAATGCCTTTGCAGTGCTGCAGCCATCCTCATCTGTGTCCTGAACACCCAGGTTGGCTTACGTTAATCCTAAAGTTGAACTTCGAGTTCCTGTGGAACAATGCTCTTGAAGAGGTGCAGTAATGTGAAACGTGAGGTTTCTTATGCTAGCTCCCTTAAAATAGTAGAGAAACACATACGTATATGTTGTGTTTTACCTATATATTGCTATAAATAACATAGAGAAACAAATTACTTGAAAGTAATTGTTTCTTTTGAAATTCACTGATAATTGTAGAAAGGATGGAAGAAGTGTTTGCATCATTATAGAATGTGTATACTTTTTGTTATGATATGAAAAAACATACAGGTAGAAAATGAAAAGGCTTCTTATACAGAGTTGTTGACTAGTGAACAAGAAGATCGATGGATATCTTTTTACAGAAATCTTTAAAAATAACAAAAATTAATACCAATAAAAATAAAGGATTGAAACCTGTTGTAGATGATACTGACTTTGGGGAAAAAAACCCACAAAACCTCAAGAAATATGTTACTCTGGTATTCTCTGTACAAAACAAAAAGGTTGAACAAGTAGAAAGTCTATTTATGTATATTCCATTATCTTGAGAGCTTCTTCTTTTTAAAGAACACTTACTGATTTTAATTTATCTTACTTTCACTTACTTATCTTTATGGAAGTAAGTTTCTGATCTCCCCAAGCATTCTGTGCCCAGAAGAAATGTTCTTCATCCTTCCTTTTTTTTTTAATTTATTTATTTTTTTAAATGGAGCAGCAAAGTGCACACAATGATTTTTATATCCTTGTTAGGACCTTATTAACAATATTAATTCCTAAGTCAGTTTTGCCCTTCTGATTCAATATAATTTGCAAAGATTGTTGGATATTAGCATATAATATTTTGATAACAAGAGAATTCTTGGGAAACACTGGATTCAGTATTCTGCTCTTATTTCTTATGTTTAGGCAGCAGTAGCTAGGGAAATGCTTACCTGTGTAAGAAAATAAAGCATTTCAGTTAAGTTGGTGAAACATGGGGTTTTCAGGGTAGTCTGGGCATGTGTTATGTGTTTGTGTTTCCATTTTAAAATGCATGATCATGTCAAGGAAAATGGTTGTTTTCTCTAGTGTTACTGTTGAACAGCTAAGGGGGTTGTTCATTTCCCTCAAATGATCAAACATCCATTCAAAGAACATTTTGCATTCTGAATACATTTCTTCAGTGATATTAGAATCGGTATTTCATTTCATTATGCCATGTTTGTTGTTATATGGCTTTGTGGAATGAAGAGCAAAAGCTTTTAGGGTAGCTAACATTTTTCATAGGCTGGGTAAATTGACTTTGTTTCTGCAGTGAGCAAGCTTTTCAAGTGGGAAGTCTGTTTTGTATCATCTGAATGGAAGTATTTTGGCACCAGTCTTGAGCCTTGATCCAGGTTTTGGATCCTGAAAAGTATCGCCTTGGATTTGGATTCCCCTTCATGCAGTGCTTCCCTCAGGCACTGAGAGCATATCCTTGCATTTCATGCTTTTTTGGTCTTATCCACCTGTTTGTCTTTAACACTCTTTTTTGCTTTGTTCGTCTTTGGCCCCAGTTTCTCTGTTGGGAGATAAAGCAGTGTAGCTGCAATAGAAGAAAACCTTTGTGTGTTGCCAGCTAAAGGCTCTTTTTCAAACTTTATTCTACAGACCACAAATCCCCGTGAAACTGGCTTCAAAATGAGACTGCCTTTGCTCTCATGACAAAGAACTTCAGTATGATTTTTAGATCCTTGTTAGACTATTAAAAGCCACAGTTCCTAGTGTGGCCTACTTAAATAAACTTTTTAGGTAGTCAGAAGTGCAAATGGTTGTTCTAATGCTTGTAATTACCATAAGCTTTATGGTTTAAGATACATTGTTTCTGGTAACTAGTCTGAGCACATGGGCAGGTACTACATGTAGCTCTTGATATTACTAAATGCCAGTAAATGGTCCTATGCTACCCTACCTAACTGAAGTCTAAAATGACAGCTACAAAGTGTGCACCAGTCCGCACTGAGATCATGTCCCTAGAGGGAGAGAGCCCAGTGCCTTGTGAAGCTACCCAGCAAAGCAGTTAGGAAGGAACTTCACTGCATTTTACTCCATGTGGTGTGTGCCTGAACCCCATACAGCCATTGAAACTTGGGGGGAAAGCTGATCCTGTAGTGATTTCAGACAGTGGGAGTGCAGGGCAGCTCTGCTGCAGTTCTGTGCTGATCTAGCTGAACAAGTTTAGTTACTCTTGCTAAAAGTAAAAATTTTCACTGCTCCACATTTCTCATTTGCCAGTGTTCTTGTGCAGTTCATCCTTTCCCCTCGTTGCATGACACTCATTAGGTTCTTGTGTAAGAGACTGGAGTTTGTGTTTTGCCATGTAGGTTGGTTGCATAAGCTCATGAATGAGTCCACGAGGTGCTGGCAATAGTGTAAGGTAAGTGGCAGAACTGATGACAGGCTTTTAGGGACCACAGTTCATGAGATAGATAGGCTCTCAGCCTTGTGTAGCTACATACAAAACAGAAACATAAGAAATCTGTGAGAAAGCCTGCAATCAATTCCTGTATAGTAGAATAAATATCTTAATATGCATATACTAGCTTACTGTGAGATGGGATGTTGATATACATAATACGTAT